TTAAGTAATAAGTCTCCGTGTGTATTTATTTGGGAGCTGGATGACGCCCCCCTCCCCAAGAGTAAAGAACAAAGAGCCAAATGAGTAAAAAAATAACAACTCAGATTCTAATTGTCTGAATAAAGGTGTTACACAAGTCAGGCTTCCAGCATTTAACCTCTACTTACTAAACACTGTGGTATTTGACATATTTATTTATTTATTTATTTATTTATTTATTATTTATTTAGTCTGTGAGGATTATACAGAGTGTGCCTCAACTCACGCCTGTCCCTTTAGAAGGAATGAGTGTTCCCTGACATGGTAGGCAACCCCAGCAGGTTCTAGGACTGGGGGCAACTTCTAGATAAAGGGTGGAAAGGAAAGGGGAAGTTCAGCCCAGGACCTCAAGGAACTACAGTGTACCCTGTGCTCCAGGTGAGGTTTCTGCCACTCTTCTGTAACTTTAGGTCCTGAGTTTGTCATGGCAATGCCCAGACTTCTGACCTGCAGAGCTATGTGTTGATAAATCCCATTGTTTATGAGCAACTGAGGTTTCTTAATTTAGCACACAGTGACAAACATATAAAAAATGCTTCCACCTACCAATCTCACATCTGCAAGATTATTTGACTACAGAGTATTCCAGCATCCACATGGCTAAAATTCATTATATCAGTACTTTCTTGTACCTATTGCTGTTTCCAAGCTTTGGGTTTGCTTTTTAGCAACGTTGTAACAAATGGTTTAGAGCCAAATCTCCTAACAAAGTCTGCAGTTTACAACCTGTAATTGGGCATATCTTGAAGAGGGCCTATCTTCAATTCTAATTCTCTCCAGAAGGTCCATACTCAAGTCTGTCCACTCAGCTGCCAAAGCGTCACCAACACTAAGAATTTCCCACGTGAAATTACAAAAATTACCTTCCTTTTGAATTTTAATTTTTGGGGGTGGATGGATGGAGTTGAGACAAGGTTTCTCTGTGTAGTTCTGGCTGTCCTGGAACTGACTCTGTAGACCAGGGTGGCCTCTAACTCACAAAGATCCACCTGCCTCTGCCTCCTGGGTGCTTGGATTAAAGGCATGTGCCACTAAGCAGGGCTTTGAATTTTCGATTTGTTGTATTTTATTTCATTTTTTTCATGAAAGGCTTATGTTTTTTTGTCTCCGCTGTGTATGCATTATTTGTATGGGTTCGTTTTTATTTTGTTTTAAAATGTCTCATTATATAGACTAGGCTGGCCTTGAACTCAGAGAGATCCACTTGCGTCTGCCCCCTGAGTAATGGGACTAAAGGCATGCATCAGCAAGCATGACTGGATTTTTATGTTTTTTTTTGTGTGTGTGGGGGGGGTGTGTCTTGTTTTTTTCAAGACAGAGTTTCTCTGTGTAACAGCCCTGGCTGTCCTGGAACTTGCTCTGTAGACCAGGCTGGCCTTGAACTCACAGAGATCTGTCTGCCTCTGCCTTCCAAGTGCTGGAATTAAAGGTGTGAGCCACCACCACACGGTGGACTCAGTTTTTTTTTTTATTTCACTTTTAAATCATTAATTCGTTTGTTGTTATTATGTGTATACATGCATGTGTCACAGTTCATGTGTGCAAGTCAGAGGACAACTTGAGATCACCAGGGCATGCTTTGCTCATTAATCTGGACTTTTAATTCAGCTTGAATTAGCTTATTGCATTGGCAGAGTAACCCACTACCTGGGGATTTTCAAAATACTTATCAGAGACAACACTCTCTTTGGCCTCCAGGGGCACCTGCACATACAAACACAAATAAATTAAAAAAAAAAAAATCTAAAAACAAACGTGAGGCTAGATGTGGTGGGATTAAAGGAGATCTTTAATCCTGGCACTGGGAGGAAAAGGCAGAAGGATGTCTGTGAGTTTGGGGCCAGCCTGGTCTATATGGTGATAAAAATGGTTAGCAGAGAGCAGGTGGACACAACTGCACTGTTAACATCCTCAACGCCTTGTGACACCCAGAAGTGGAAGTTGCTCTTCTTTCACTTACCCACCCTGGTCCTCCCTCCTGCTCTTTCCCCTTCTAATGATGAATGACTGATGTTCACAGACATCTTATGGTTTTGGGAGCACAAGAGAAAAGACACCAAAGCACAGGTTTCTCCCCAGAGGCTCAAATAAAATGAGAGCTGGAAGTAGCTCATTTCTCTAAGCAGAGTCTCCCTTTATTAAAAGAAACCCAAAGTCATCCAGGGAGCAGGGTTAATACATCAGATCACAGACTGCTTTTTTTTTTTTCCTTTATGTCTTTTGCTTCTATTCAGGTTGTCTGAAATCTTGGTTGCTACTACTACTTTGGAATTAACAAGAGTTTAAACTGTCCACACCTAAGAGGAGTCAGAAGACAGACAGCACTGCCCATGCTACAATGTGGCTTGGTGTGGGGAGTTGAGCCAGCATCACCCCCCAAAAAACAGACAAGTCCAGAAAGGCAGAAGTGGCAGGGTGAGTAGCCATGATATGTTGTTTCTGGAACACTTTACCTGGAGGGATTTAAATGCCTTCACCAATGACAAGCCAAGTGGCTCCATCCAAGTCCAACTTTGGGGAACCAATGAAAATATTGGGCTCGTGTACAGATGTAGGTGGACTTTTCTGTCCTGACAGCCAGTTCCCAAATAACACAGACTTGATATTAATTATAAATGCTTAGGCTTGTTTTCTAGCTAGCTCTTATAGCTTAAATCAACCCATTTCTACTAACCTATGCGCTGCTCCAAGCCTTGTTTATCTCATGTATGTACTTCCCATCCTGCTGTCTGCAGTCTCATGGCATCTCTTCTGACTCTGCCCTTCTCCCCAGCATTCCCTCTGGCCCCCAAATCCTTCCTAGTCATCGGCCAATCAGCTTTTTTTTACCAATGAGAGAAACACGTCTTCACAGAAGGATCATTCCACAGCTTACAGATCGTGAGGGGTTATTGACAGGTGTGTGGGTGGACCAAAGCAGCCACACTGGAAAGTCTTATCTCAGTACAGACAACTTCCCATTGCTGAGGTTTTTACTGTCTGTACACTTGAGCAGCGCCTGACACCACATAAGACACATGCAGCTAGGCTAGAATTGCACACAAATTCCTGGGAGGTGCAATGGGAAGTGGATGGAGAATCAAGGGTGGGTTCAGTGACTCTCCCCATCCACACCAACTATGAGAATGTCAACAGCCAAACTCTCCAGTGTAGTCCCCTCCAATCGTGCTCTTTCAAATTTGTGGCCTCTTTTTATCTATTTATTGTTATCTTATGTCTGTTGGTGTTTTTCCTGCACCTATGTCTGTGTGAGGGTGTCAGAAGCCCTGAACTTGAGTTGCACAGGTGTGAGCTTCCATGTGGGTGCTAGGCATTGAACCTGAGTCCTTTGGAGAGCAGTCCTCTTAATTACCGAGCCATTTATTCCAGTCCCATCAGATTCATAGCCTCTTTGTTGTACGGTTTTTGTTTCATTTTGTTTATTTATTGAAACAGGGTCTCTCTGTATCTTTGGAGGCTGTCCTGGAACTTGCTCTGTAGAGCAGACTGGCCTTGAACTCTGCCTGCCTCTGCCTCCTGAATGCTGGGATTAAAGGCGTGTACCACCACCACCTGGGTGTGACCAAGTATTTTTTAAAGGCAGTAGGAAATTTGTTCTAGCTTGATTTCTGTTGTTGTAACTGACCAAAAGCAACTTGGGGAAGGAAAGGGCTTATTTTTAGTTTGCAGGTTATAATCCATCAAGGGAAGTCAAGGTAGGAACTCAAGACAGGAAGCTGGAGGCAGAAACTGAAGCAGAAGTCATGGAGGAACTCTGCTTACTTGCTCAGCTACTTTCATTATACAACTCAGAACCACCTGCCTAGAGGTGACATTACCCACAGTTGGGCCCTCCCACATCAATCACCAATCAAGGAAATGCTCCACAGACTTGACCACAGGCCAGTCTGATGAAGGCACTTCCTCAACTGAAGTTTCCACTTCCCAGCTGTCAAGTTGACAATTGAAGTTAAGACATTGGATCACTCCCTACCACCATCACCCCCAACACTTTGTGACCATACTAGAACAGTCTGTGTTGGCTTTGTCTGTTGGCTTTGTTTCTGTTCCCCCAGTTTCAAATTCAGAGATTTCAGAGCACTGCCCAAGACGACTACACATACACATACAGGTCACAGGTCCTCTAATCCATTCTTCCTCTTAGATTTGCATTTCCCTAAAGAATCTTAATCCCACTGGATTAGTTTAGTACCATTCAAACTACACATTTACAGAGCGAGTCACCAGCTCAGTTAGTCCAAAAGGACTTACTGTCATCCCATTACAGTCTTTACCCACGTATGTTATGCTTAACACTCCTTTCATTATTTTTTAAAACTGCCTGTCTATGTGTTGACACACATGCAGGAGAGTCTACTCTCTCTGTCATGCGGGGCTCCCCTGGGGATAGAACTCCGGTCATCCCCAGGCTTGGCAGCAACACTTTTACTCAGTGAGCCATCTCTCTGGCCCAGGCCTAGCAAACAAGACTCAGGCTCACTTACCAGCAGGACTAAGAATCAGTTATATTCTTTTAAAAATGAATTTCTTTTTGTTACCTGTTTGAGACAGAGTCTCACTATGTAGCCTTAGTGGAACTCACTATGTAAATCCACCCACCTCTCCCCGCCAAGAGCTTGGATTAAAGGTATGAGCCACTAAAGACTTAGTAGTTTTTGTTTTTGTGTGGCTGTTTTCTCTTCATGTAGGTCTGTGCACCATTTGTGTACAGTGTCCATGGAGGCCAGAAGATGGTGTCAGATCCCTCTGGACCTGGAGTTACAGATGGTTAGCAGCCACCAAATGCATGCTGGGAATCCAACCCAGAACCTCTGGAAGAGCAGACAGTGCAGTTATCTCTCCAGACTTAAAAAAAAAAGAAAAAAAGGAAATTAAAAAAAAAAAAATTGTAGGAGACTGACAGGTTTCTGTACCCCAATAATAAGTTTCTCCGACAACGCAGTAAACCAGATCAAGCTGAATTAAAAAGTAAAGGGCCAGGTTTATTCAGGCAAAACATTCCTGAGTGACCATTCAGTCCCCAGAGATTAAGGGGGATCACATGGCCTGTCTAAAGGGGACTTAAATACACTGTGTGTGAGTGTGTGTGTGTGTGGGGGGGGGAGTGTCCTGCGTCTGTGCCCAATGACAGCTTTTAGGCAGAGTCTTGAGCACTTGGGGGAGGAGCCACCACCGCTCGTACAGGACTGAATTTTTTGGCAGTTTTTCTGAGAGGGCAGGGTTTGGATAGGGAGGAATGGCTGGATCAAGCAGGGATGAGCTGGAGATTCCAGCTGAACATCCTGACCTTCTTGGATATATGGGTGATGGATCACATCTGGCTACTTCCTGCTGACATGGGACGACGTGGGGTGGGAGTCAGGAGTCGGTGGGCTCCTGCTCATCGGGAGGTATGGGTGAAGAAGCATTTGGTTAACTGCCATCCTGGAGGTCAACCTCAAGAATCTCTGTGTTGAGGAGGTAGAGAATGCAAGTTGCTAGGAGAAAAAGTAGATCATTACTGTCATCCCTATGAATGGGCTAGCCATGGGAAGAGTGGAGATGTTCCCTGGCTGTACAAAAGAGACAAAGGCACAAGAGCAGACAGGCCCTTCATTGGGACATTTTGGAAACCAGGAGGGGGGAGGGTCCCAGTTGCTGGATAGGTGCCCACTTGAGCTTGGAGAGGTGGTACCAACACTGATGTCCCGGGAGCCTGGCCACTGGAAGGGTGATGAGGATCATGGTGTAGGGTCCTGTTAACCAGGGCTCTACCAGAGGTGATGGTCAAATACCCAACAGTGGGAGAGCATAGCTGAGCCTTACATGGGGAAACACAATATCCCAGGGATCTGAGGTAGTTTAGGAGCAAAGAGATGACCCGGTGGGACAGAGACAGAGAGGGATCACAGAGTAGGAGGTAGTCTACATACTGGAGGAGTGTGCTAGGACTGGGGTCAAGAGTGGAAAAACCCTGGGCCAAGGCTTGGACAAAGAAATGGGGATTGTCCCGGAAACACTGAGGGAGAACAGTCCATGTGAGCTGTCTGGAGGACCAGGTGTCAGGTGTCAGGGTCCTCTCAGGTGAGGGGAGGCAAAGAGAAAATATGAGTCAGGGTGCAGAGGGACAGTAAAAAAGGACAGTAAAGCGGGAAGCTGGAGGAGGAATATTGGAAGGAGAAGGGTGATGGGTTGTTGACCACTGGGTGGACTGGAATAACTGCCTCATTAATGAAGTGGCTGAGGTCCTGAGCTAAATGGTAAGCACCAGAGGAGGGCTTATGTGCTGGGAGAATGGGAGTGTTGCAGGGCAAGTTGACAAGAATTAAAAGTCCCTGAGATAAAAGGCTGCATGCCTTGGAGGTGGGTTTCAGAAATAGGAAACTGGGGTCTGGAAGGGGAGGAGGAAGGGTCCTTAAGGCAACTAGGACTGGCTGGGGGGGAGGAGAAACCACAAGGGGGGGGGTATATCTGGGG